TTGTGAATGCCTGTGTATGTGAATACGTTTTACAATAATGTCCAGCGTGTGTTTTACAAAGACTGTGTTGGTGAATGTTGTCCATATCATGCCATATGAATGCAGCACATATCCTCGGGCATGTCTTGCAAATAATACACAGGCTTCATCAAGCAAACAAATCAAGACTTGTATCTACCACACTCAAAAAGACATATGGAAGTACAACCATTCACCAGACAAAAGGCATCAATTTTACCACACCCTAGATTGTACACGAGACTAGCACGGCAAATCTCATTTGTAGAGCACAACATAAAGAAACCCAATGAACCCCACTCCCCCTTCGTATCCCCTTCATAAACAAAAACTGTATCAAAGTTCTTCTAAATTGATGCCCCCCCCCCCATTCTAGATTTACAAAAACGAATTCTTCAAACGTTCCTGTCAAAGCTTGAACAAATCCCAGGCCACTGATTCAGAAACAGGCATAAACCTCAGTTGTTTAGAAGACTGACAGACTCGCTCATACCTTCCCAGGAAACTGCACACCCCAATGTTCTCTCTCTCTCTCACTCACAAACCTAAGATGACACACATACAACGTAAACATCACTGCACACGACGCGCAGCATCGCTACACAGGACACACATCGCTACACATGACACACATTGCTACACATGACACTGCTGGATTCTCACAGACGTGCCGCCCATAACACACCGATACCTTCCCGGCCATCATTGCTAGCTACAACAAAGCAAAATCGCAGAGCAGCATAGAAGCAAGAGAGATAATTCAATCTGGTTTCAAAGCTAATTCCCATCCACGATGTGCACGCTTGGTGTTCTGACTAAAGAAGGACTTACCGTTATGGTAAATTTGAAACTATTTGACGGATGAGAAGACTCGCTTAGAACCAGTATCAATATATTGGCATAACCACGGCTAAAAATACAATACTTTTCATCATCATCATCAAGTGCCAGATTTGGCACAGACATCAGTGATCATGGATCTCCATTCATTCCTCTCTGCTCGGATGTTCTCAAAAAAGCTGTATTACCCTGACCCTTCCCTGTCACCCACCTGTTGAGGTACTTCATGAATTTTGCTCTGGGCCTACCCCTGCCTTTCCAACACCCTAAAAAAACAAATCACCGTCTTTTTCTTTCCAACACCCTAAAAAAACAAATCACCATCTTTTTCTCTCCAACACCCTAAAAAACCAATAAATCACCATCTTTTTCTCTCCAGCCAACACCATATCCCCCCTCGGACAGGAAAAACACAAAAAATAAAACCCAACATTAGCCAGCAGACTACAGCCGAACCACTTCATCAGTACCCGGTACCGCATTGTGGGGCGTCTCACCCCTGTGAGAAAGCAGAAGCGCACGCTTCTAAAACAAAACTAAATAAAACACGTCACATGACGCCAATGTACAACATGATGCTTTTGGCCAAGTTTTTCCAAAAAAATCTATAGGTGGTGGCGTTACATACATACTACATAGTCCACCACTCCTCCTACCACCAGCCTGGGTCTGTATACTGTACAGGTACATTACAAGGTTATTTGTGTGGGTAACAAATGGCAACGGTCAACAACGTGCGCGACCTCCGAGAGGTCAAAGATCATACAGCAGGTGACTTCCTGCTTCTCCTCCAAGTCATAAATAAAATTCCATTTTCACAACAAGTATAAAACAACATGTCGAAATATATATATTATACCCCAGCTACAAAATAAACAACAACAAAAAAACAAAACATACCCCCAACAACATACGCGAATAGAAAACAAATAGTGATATATATACGTATTATAGAAGATGTATTATGTGTAAACATGCCCCCTTGGTATAACAACTAAGTCTGTATTAGAGTACTACTACTTGAATAAAAGTGAAATCAAGAACTATGTACAATTTCAAAATGGAAAAGTGTAAAGAAAAAAAAAAAAAAAAAAAAAAAAAGCAACAGCAGCAACAAAAATCATCTGGCTCAACAGGTACACGGTGAAACATATGAGGGAGGGAGGGAGGGAGGGAGGGAGAGAGGGAGGGGGAGAGGGGGGGAGAGAGAGAGAGGGGGGAGAGAGAGAGAGGGGGAGAGAGAGAGAGAGGGGGGAGGGGGGGGAGAAAGACAGGGGGGAGAAAAAACAGGGGGGATAAAAAAGGAGGGTAAGATAGAAAGGGGGGGGAGAATAGCGGGGGTTATAGAGTAAGGGGGGGAGGGAACATCGAAACGCTTTTGGGAGAAATACTGGTGGGGAGGGCAATTCCCTCTAGTTGAGAAAAACTTCCAACTTCTTTATATATATGTGTGTCACAGCGCGGTGGAATCAGGCGACCGTCAATTGTGGGGCATATGGAGGTATTGGTATCATCTTAAAGGTTCTTCATTTGACTTGTTTTCAATGAAAAAAAATAATTCATTATCTTGAATAGAAATCGATATATTTGCGACTGAAAGAGGTGGGGTCGCCTGGTTTCACAAGTAAAATTGGCGAGAAAATGGCCGCCAAAGTTGGGCTACTTCCATAGCTCAAGAGTCCTCGGAAACGGAAAATTTTATTTTTCGTGCTTTTAATCAGCGTTTTTCCACATCCACACATTAAAGTGTTTCTGAAAGGACATACAAGGCCTTGATGTAAAAAAACAAAAATTCTTTTTTAAATTCCAAACTGGCCGAAAAATACAGATTTCTTTGATTTCATTATTTTGACGAGCACCTGATTTCACCACGATGCCTCACATTTCAGTAATGATGGAGAGTACATTTGTGCACAGATCTACAACTACTATACGGTCAAATCGATGCTAGCCATTGGGGTTTCAACAAGTGATCACACGTTGAGCCGATCAACAAAAAGTAAATGCCTCTATGTCAATTTGATGATGTTAATTCATGGCTGTAGGCGCGGACAGCTTCGTCTTTTTCGTTGAAACCAACAACGGTAAATGACTGGTTGTCATAGAATACTTTAAAAAAGTAGAAAAATACCGAGAATGGGTTTATGGATGGGAGAAAAACCCCAACCCACCATCGGATAAATGCTCCGACCTAAATCCTCCGTTGTTGCAATGACTTTTTCTCCCATGATGAAATCTGCACCATCCACTTCTCTCTCCGCCAAGTCACATTCAAACAAAGATAAAAGGAGCCAGAATGTTTCTCCAATAATTTTTACCAATGAATTTCACCTCTCTTTAACTATGGCAAAAAGAAAACCCACAATCTTTGGATGAAATCATCGCCACAGAAAGAATTTTTCTATAACAGCCCACTATAAATATAATCAATGTTGAACACTTTGGCTGAAGAGGCAGTGCGAGACAAGGGGAGCGGTAACACTAAGTTTTGTCTTTTCTTACTTCATAGTAGCACTAGCAGTCTTGCACAGCTGCTTCACAGATGTTATCAACAGATGGTATCAACAGATGGTATTAGCTTCAGTCAAAAGGAAAGAAACAAACTAAACATGCAGAAAAAGCATTGGCATCTTTGTGTACACAAGTATACAGTACAACAAGCAATACTGATCAATCAGCACACGCATCCAATTTTTCCTTGTCCATGCTAGAATTTCCAATATATGAAAAAAAAACCCAACCAAATTACCCTCCACAAAACACCCTCATGGCAATCCAAATAAACAAAAACAAAATGTATTCTTACGTTAAAAAAAACACCAACAAAAACAAAATGTATTCTTACGTTAAAAAAAACACCAACAAAAACAAAATGTATTCTTACGTTAAAAAAAAAACACCAACAAAAACAAAATGTATTCTTACGTTAAAAAAAAAACACCAACAAAAACAAAATGTATTCTAACGAAGAAAAAAAACCACCAATAAAAACAAAGACGTGATGAACGTCAGCTGCTCGATATCACAACATAGACAACAATAATTACGCGAGGGGAAATCATCCAGTTGCATCTTTCGGTGAAAAGGCAAAAAAATACACACACACTCACAGCTCTTCCCACCACAGAAGAACGAGTCCCCAAGGTTTGCACACATCAAACATTGGCATCATTCAAATCCCCAAATCAAAAATAATAAATTAATCACAAAAAGAAAGAGAAAACTCAATAATACACGTTGTCTAAATAAAACAAAGCACAAAAGGTGAGCACAAGTCTCTACAATACGATGACTTGTCATGACTAAGAAGACGGCGCGGGCCCAACTAGAATAAGCAATCAGGAATCAGGAATCAAATCAGGTAAAACGTTCAATAAATGCTACACCGCTACAACACAGGAAACACAAGGTGACCCCGACCACGACCTTCTGGCATGGTAACTTTGGATGTACAAGCTGACTTGGAGGGGGGTGGGAGAGGGGTCGGGCTCGACCGTACTCACTCGAATTCCAACACACACACAGGAGGGCGAGTGAGGCTCACACGCGAGGAGAACCAAAATGTTTCTCCAGTCAACTTCAGCAGTGTTGGCGACAAAACAGCCCACAGTGAAACGGCGGCTTCACTCTTTTGAGAGAACAAAAACAACAACAGCAGCAACAACAGCAGCAACAACAACAGCAACAACGGGTGCCTACGTAAAGATGTCAACATTGCAGAAACAGAGTCCTCATCATCACAAAGAAGGGGGTGTGGGGGGGGGGGGTAACGGGGCAGAGAGAAAGATTGCCAGAATCTCCACTATGGTACAGAGGGGTACATCTCCAAATGCCTTGAGGATAACTCGCATTCTGACACAGACATGACACAGTAAATGAGCAGGATAGACAGCCGGCAAAGCCTGGGGGAGGGGGGTGTTTGTGTGTGTGTGTGTGCTTGTGTGCGTGTAATGTGTGCGGGTGTGTCAACAGTGTAGAGATGAGCAATTCACTGGTGACATGACACGGCGACACAGAGGAGGAGGAGGAGGAGGAGTCCCGG